ATACGCTGTTCATTACGCGAGTAACTAATAAATAAAAAATGTATGAGTTAATCCTTACTCCACACGCTCTCCCTCTCCATAAAAAAGAGAGTTAATTGTGTTGCATTTTATTTATACCTATGCAGAAAAATAGAGGCGTCAAAGGATATGGCCGAATATCAGCGACCCTTGCTGTGTAAGCAATGGGGTATGACAAGTGGGGGTAATGGCCCCGTCCAGCGCCCATAAAGTGGGCACACTCGTGCGACCTGCCGACCACTGTTCTAGATAGAGCCATAAAACGCCGTGAATATTTTAAGCTTGACGATACGAATCGACTGGTATGTAACATGTTTACCTCAGGTAAAATTTTAAAATTATTTTTTGTTAGGTCAAATTATAGTTCATTTATCGCATTATGATGAGAGAAATACTATATCCCGGAAAAATAAACGTAATACCGCTGAGCTTAGGTTGAATCTGAAATCATTACTTAGGAAGAGTTATAAAAGAACCGTCGAACGTGTCTTTTTTGGTCATTAAATATCAGCAGGTATGCCGCCCCCTCAGATGCCAAGTGCCGCCCCTATGAGTGCAAAATGCCGCCCCTAATTGTGATTGCCGACCCAGTGAAAATCCCTTAAAATACGCCCTGCGGCAGTGCCCCACCGCGCCGGGGCTGTTTGACAGGTCACCCGCACCGTGACCTCGCCCCCCCCCCCGCCCACCTCCCCATCGGGCCCAGCTCGGTACTGACCTCCCCTTGAATTTGACGTGGACTCGACTGAGGCTCAACGCCATCTAGTAACGTCTGGAGATCCTTACTAGATCCACTGTACCTATTCTTATTCATGTATAGGCTATAAGCAATTATTGATAAATGCAAATCAGCAATGCAAGACTTGCATAACTGCTGACTCATTGTCAAGCTGTGTGGTTGAACAAAGCGGATGCTTTATTGCAATTAAAAATATAACCAGTGACAGCGCTACCTGAACTGGTAAATGATTTAAGTGCGTCCATTTTTAATCTTGATTGCATAAGAATCTGAATATCACGCTCTGCTTATCCATGCTGGAATCTGGCCATGATATTACAATTGCTGAGCTTTGTCGTTAATTGTGCCGACCATAGTAAAATACTAACCTGTTGCCTCAAGAATGCTTGGGCCGTACAATTAGGCGGAAGCCGACATACATATATTTAAATTATTGTTATGCATTGACAGAAACGGTTACCTTAAATCACGCATATCTTAAGTTGAACATCAGGCATGTGTACTGTGTAGATTTTCATTCCTGATGTGATGTATTCCTGATGCACAGGGTCTTCGGTATAATCGTATGCATGTTTAATTCTTTACACTTCTGTCTACCTCACTATTTGATGTTGGCGGTTCGTTAATTTGCTATAGAAAACCAAATCCATCTAAAAGGTTAAGTTCCGTTTTTTTCAAAAACGTGGCATTTTCCCTCAGTTCGTTGTCACGCTTATGTAAATATACCAATAGCAAGGAGTTTATTATATCATCAAAAGATCTATGTTCAAAGAAATAAACAATAACCTTGTTAGATAGTTGTCAATTTGTTGACCACATACATGGTAAGGTTAAAGGGACTATCCCACCTTCTAAAATGTTTTTAAAACCAGTTAAATTGTGCCCGACTTTATAGATTGGATGACCAGGAACACGGTTCTGGCATTTATTTTTCATTAAACATCTTAGGCTTCCCATATTCCAAACACAAACTTTCAAATATGTGACGTCACAGCCCAAAATTACCTCCTTCCCCAGGCCACATTACTGTCATAAAGCTGATTCTTTTTACTCTGTAGGCACCACAACAAAGTTCAGACCAAGTTTTAAGCGATTTTTTAACGAACAAACCCATTTAAATCAGAATGACTAAACGAGGTGACGTCACACTAACGGTCGCTCCATGTTGAAGATAGGGCCTTGTACAAGGCCCATTTTCAAATGAAGGGAACGAATTTCTTCAACACCAAGAGGCCGCGGGGGTTGCAACCTAGATAGATAGTGGTTTCTGAACCTCGCCGCAAAGTTGGCTATCTCAACTCAAACCCCATGTTAAAGGTGGGATAGTCCCTTTAAATCACCTTGCAGATCGCAGACCTGCAAATTCACCAGCTGCTTGTCATAAGCCTTTCGCAACAGCCCCCACCTCACTGCACCAGACAGGGAAGCTTATTTCGACAAAACCGAGAATAGCTCCGATATACTCGTATTTATTTGGTAGCGGCTACTTGAAATCGTCCGTGTATCTAAAATACGCGGGATACTCCACGCCACAGAGTGACTCTCTCCTTGGCTCAACTCCCCCCCCCCAAGTTACATAAAAAATGGCAATAGTTTTAATTGACCAAAATTGGTATGAAAACATGGTTATTTTGATTAAACTTGGTGGGTACTGGGTAGCTAAGTCCGTTTTGGGCTTAAATTTTCCGATCGACGATAGTTGGATGACTTAAGTGCTTTTTTCATTACTTTGGAGATTTCCTTATCAAACAGCGCTTACCGGCTTCCGCGTGTCACTACGTGACCCAGGAGCCGAGTTGGAGCAGGAGAGTCTGGAGAGCCACCCCTCTTTCAGACGCCCTCTTCCTTTGTGGGTAACGGGAACTAAAATATACGACTGAGCAAAGCAATTCGATAGTTGTCAACCCCTCTTCTCAATATTCACTGGCGGATCAAGGGGGGCATTCGGGCCACCCCCTCCCCCGCAGTGCCCGAAATCGACTAAAATTTGCGGTATTCCGAGGATAAAACAAAAAGAAAACAGCTACTTATCAACAAAAGTTTGTTTGAAACTGCGCAACAATGCGTATGAAATCGAAATACGATGAGTTTTTTTTTAATTCGGAGAATTTTTTTTTGGCGTATGCCCCCTCTCCGCTCCGCAGCGCCCAAGACCTCCTTTCTGGATCCGCCAGTGTCGATGTTATGTATTTCACGCATTTGCCGCTACAGTCTAATGTATCTCACGCATTTGCCGCTACAGTCTACAGGTTTGTGGCCAGCTGGACGGCAGTCAGTACCGTGCGCCGCGACATCTATACGCCGACTTACGAGCATTTGCAACATCCGCCGTACCGCCAGCATCCGTAGAGGCGTGCGTATCGCGTACAAAACGGGAAGCGTCCGTCCTAGCTCTCCAGTGTCCCTCCAGGCCAATTAAAATATAATTGTTCACACAACATTGTCCGAAATGAAGGTCACCCCCACCAGACAACCGGTGCATGGTGAGGGAAGATGTCGTTTGATCTATACCCTCTCCGAGATGGCTGTTTGAGGGGCATGAGGGCGAGCTGTCCCACCGGGAGTCGTTGCCGTGGCGGTGTACCGAATTGGTCATCCGAATATAGGTACAGTTCAATAAACGATGTCTCCACTCTCTAACCTATCCTCTCAACACATATGATAGGATATTGGGTATACCTAGCTGTGCAGTGGTTTTGTCGCACCGAAATAACTCACTCCAAGCAAAACAAAAGAAAATGTAAAGCGAGTAGCAGCCCGATTCCCTGGCATCTTCATATCTTCATTCAGGACATACAAACAGCCCCCTTTCCCGTGAATATCCTATACTCCCTGTTCCAAGCTGGATGCTTCTCAGAAGCAAACTCGCATAATGTGGTTACTGATTAGGCCGTCTGTTCTGTCCCTTGCCCAGCGCAATATCTAATGTATGTACAGTCCAAAGCAGAAGTAATGTGTGGTTTCAGTCATGGGCATGTTCTGCTTCTGAAGCTTATGAACGATTAGCCAGACTACAATGAAACTTTGAATGTAGCTTATATGTATCGTCATCTTTGCAGCTGCAACTTAAGCTATTGACATCTTCTTTTCGATCACTCCGCATTAAACAATCGCCAGTCAAAGCCAACCGTTGAGAATGGTAAAACCCTACATTACTTTAGCGGTGGGCTGTACCTAATACTGATCTCAGGCAGCTTTTGCCAAGTTGTCAGGGAACTCAGATTTGTTTTTCAATAGAAAAACACAATTCTAAAGAATAGTGTTTTACCTAACTATTGACAACAAACCTTCGGTTACTAATGTAATATGCATGCTGACGCGAGTTTGTCAGCGTTGAAAGAGAACAACTATTTGCTGATCAAACAGCACTGTCAGTCGACCCCACTTCATTAAAATCATGCCAAACCTAGCATACGGCCCAAGATTTTGCTCTCTGAAGTGTGTTCAGTGTTCACCAGTCACCTAAAATCTAAACAATAGTGCATGCACATTGCACATTGCACGTTGCACGATGCACATAGTCTGTTTGTTTGGAAGTTTGTTCATTGGGTTAGGCCAGATCGGACCGGAAGGATATCCTAAAAAGGGGTGCGGCAGTCCTCATGGTCATGCTCCGCCGAGGCATGGAGCCCGTCTCGAATTGGATAAGTCATAAGCCCCCACCCCCGCGCCGCAAACGATCACCCCACCGCACAGGAACATGCTCCAACGAGAGCTACTCGAGTCGGTGGAACGTGACCGTTCAGCAAGAACCGTTTGATGTGTTGAGGAGAAGGATTTGTGGCTAGGCATGTTACTGAGGACATATCCTAGGGATCAGAGGGACGACGCATAGTCAATTTTTAGTGCATCATAGGGGAAAGGGATTAGCTCTGCACTCTGCAGTATATCATAGTGTCAGTGAACATCTAATCCAGCGAGTCGTCGCTAAACCTGCAAGTCATTCCCTGCCATGCTGACCGAACACTCTCGCACCCCAATACATGACACCCCATGCAATGTTGGCAGTGAATGAAGACTGATGAGCGAGACGGGGTGAAAAGTGGGTGGGGCCGGTTAACTTGAGCCAGAGTCAAATTCCGTCCATGTCAGCACCTCACCACACCTCTTCTCGTATTTGCTGACCCCTCCCTGATACCGTGAGTCACGCTGGGTGAGCCGGCGGCCAGGACGACCTTTGACCTCCCCCCGTCAGGCCCAGGCGGGCTGCGATAGGCCCATCGCCGGCCGCGCAGTCCGCCCAATCAGCACGCCGTGGGCTCAAGCGGCGTGCCTGCTTGCCGACGAGCGGCGCACGGCAGCTTGGCCAGTGGCACTCTCAGGGCACACAAAGATGGGTGCAGATTCTGCGGTGTCACGTAACACCCTTTGATCCTCTAAATCAGCAGTGAAACCCTCAGTAGCTACCTACCACATTTACCTCCACCCCTGACCCGACCTCCCCAGTTTTTGTCCCTGGACGCGCCGCTGGGCGCCAGTGACGCGCCCTCTGTCGAGTCCGGACGGACGGCAGGGGGCTGGGGCCGGCGGCGGCGGAGAGTGGGCGGCGGCGCAGCAGCGGCGGCCGCGGTGGAAGAGTGCTGAGATCAGCGACTGGAAAACGCAGAAACAGCGACAGAGAGGAGGAATTGGACCACCGTGTGGGGGTGAGTAAGTTCAAGGTCGTCCGCGCCCGAGCCGCTTGGTGACGGCTGCCCCGCGCGCGGCTGGCCCTGCGTTACAAACCACGTGAGGATGGAGGCCCGCTGCCAAATGCCGGCATGGGGCGGGTGGGGTAGGAAACGGGGAGGGGTCAGCACGGATATTGTCAGTCAGCACCTGATTGGTCCCTCCTGCCTAAGGTCTGATTAACGATGATTATGTGCATTGTGTTAGATAACGCCTACGCTTTCAGTACGATTGTCCTTGGCATTAGCAGGCAAACCGAGCAGCCATACACCGCAATGGGTCGAAAACACGCGCCGTGTGTGTAAATATGTAACCAAGTCGTGTCTGCACCAATGTTATTCTCTACCAAACCGACCACGCCGTCTTCTTGGGTTCGCTACCGTACCCATTTTTCATGAGCCCCCCTCCCCCTCCCTCAGGTTTTGGGTCATTCACCGTCTGTCGTGGAGCCTGTCAGACTGCCATGTGCCAACCGGGACTGGGTGGATGGGGGCTATTTTCGGCTCGGGGGCTCGACTTGGAACACTTGTCCGGTGTGACTGTGTATGGTGGTTAGTGGTTACAGCTGCGTTTACAGTGATGTAGGTAGGGTGGAGTGCACTCCTATATCGTGTCGGCCGCGCTGGATACGATGCTTATCTACCGTAGGAGCTTTGACGGCCGGACAGGATTTGTGTTTGTATGTCGGAGCTTAGAGCGTCATAGTAATATGAACACAAGAAACCGGGGTTACACTTCGTGATTAATTATTTTAACCCGCGCCCTGCTGGGGAGAGGGGGGAGGTTGAACACTCAAATACCCCCTGCGGTTTTTCGCGATATCTCAAAAATGGGCGCCGCCTTTTCGGCCCACCTCATCATGCATCTTTCCCGCACATGTTGGGGAAATTTTAGACCAAGGTCATTCAAGGTCGGGTCACCAGGTCACGTCAAGTGAGTCAGTGACCTCACCTCCTAAAAAGTACCTCCTAAAAAGTTGCAATGCCTGCCATAGCTACACCGAGTCACGAGTGACCGATCGCTTTGAAACTTAAAGAAATTGAGAAGAGAAACAAATGTACAAAAAGTATGTCTCGAAATTTTGATATTAGTGACCTAAGGTCAGGTCAATTTTGCGACCTCTCCATTACCTTTAAGTCAACGGGAGAAAATTCAAAGGCGCCTTTTTTGGACGAACGTCATTCTTATTACTTTCAAACACCGAATTACAAGATAACATGACACACTGAACCGGAAAATGGTACCTGTGACCCCTCGTTATGTCCCCGAGGTCATCTCAGGTCATCAATGGTATCTAACAGTTTTTTGCTAATAACTTCTAATATAGGCATGCAATAGCGAGCGAAAGGTCTTAGACGTGTTTGGCTCGACGATACGGATCGACTGATATGCAACATCACTTTTTCTCGTCAGGTCATGACCTTGATCTGGGTCACATTTTCAACAAGTTGACCTTTCAAGGTCAACTTATAGTTCATTCGAGGCGTCTCGACGAGAGGAACACGATGTTGGCAAAAGTAATGTCGTAGCTGTATCGAGTCAAGAGTTATTGAAGAAAAAACATTGTCCGTAAAAACAGCTATTTTTCGAGCTTTTGCCCTCTGGACTCTGGAGGCCAAAGTTAAACTGTTGTCCTAAGGTCAAATCTGAGGACATATTCCAGAAAGTAGGTTAAAAGGGCTATCGAATGCGTTTTCCGCGGCGCTGTAGCTCTGTTGGTTCCTAAATTCCTGAATTATGTGCCGGGTTTCGAAAAATGTTGGCCTTTCGAAAAAATGGCCTTTCGCTCGCTATTGCATGCCTCTATTAGAAGTTATTAGCGAAAAAAAAAACTGTTAGATACCATTGATGACCTGAGATGACCTCGGGGACATAACGAGGGGTCACATGTGCCATTTTCCGGTTCAGTGTGTCATGTTAACTTGTAATTCGGTGGTTGAAAGTAATAAGAATGACGTTCGTCCAAAAGAGAGCGAAACGGTGGGGGCGGAAGTCGCACCCCGTGTACGTAGAAAACCGGCGAAGGATAACAAAATAACGTCAAGGTTCCTTCGGCAAACCTGAAACCTACCGTTTCATGTATAGGTTTCACCAAGCTCGCGCTTCGCACCAAAAAAAAAAAAGAAGTTGCCACTTGTCCAGCCCGAGACCCACTTGGTGACCGCATTACGGCAACAACACAATGCAGCATTGTGCTAGTGCCGATTACCCTGGACCCTGTCTGACGTCTGTGCAGTGTGCTGGGCTTCGGATTCTCCGGAATTAGGAGTGCCTAAAATTCAACCGATGATGCATTGTGGGTAAATTTAACGTTCCCTTCTCATAGTTAAAAGTACAGATTCATGCATAGATCTACGCAGATATACGTTTTTACCTTCGCCAGCAAATGATAACTCCGGAATTGTTTGATGTGTTCTGCCTCTATTTATAATGGATTTGTATTTATATTATTACAAAGGCTTAAATTTCAGGAAGAAAGATGTACGTCATTGATAAATTAAACTCAATACCTACAAATTTTCAACATATAAATCTTGATGAAGGGACATTTATTGCGCAATTGCGACAAAACTAATTTGACGGTTTCGTGCACTGAACTCTTCGTGGTTTGGTTTACTCGCTTTACTTTGCCATGTGTGCATTGCGATTGCGCCGTTCACAAAAACTTTCGATCCATTCTTCTTGCCTTACGGTGTGAGCAGTGAGTGTTTAGCTATTTTATTGTTTTTAGTATTATTGGTGAGTTGTCACGCATGCATTTATTTCGAGCGTTCCAGTACAAAACCTTAAATATATATCCTCTCTTTTCTCCCTCCCTCTCTCCTCTCTCTCATCTCTCATCTCTCTCATCTCGTCTCTCGTCTCTCTCTCTCTCTCTCTCTCTCTCTCGTACTCTCCTCTCTCTCTCTCTCTCTCTCTCTCTCTCTCTCCTCTCTCCTCCTCTCTCTCTCTCTCCTCCCGTCCCCTCTCCCTCTCCCTCTCCCTCTCCCTCTACCTCCTCTCCCCTCTCCCCTCTCCCTCTCCCTTGCCCTCTCCCTCCCTCTCCCTCTCCCTCTCCCTCTCCCTCTCCCTCTCCCTCTCTCCTCTCCCTCTCCCTCTCTCTCTCTCTCTCTCTCTCTCTCTCTCTCTCTCTCTCTCTCTCTCTCTCTCTCTCTCTCTCTCTCTCTCTCTCTCTCTCTCTCTCTCTCTCTCTCTCTCTTTCTCTCTCTGAAGCATTGTCCTTTATAAATGCTCTGTCCCTCCGCATCTGTGTCAACCATCACGTACAACAATACCTACTTTAACTTATTTCTAATGAAAGTTTACTGAATCTATTTCGACTGTTTTTACGATAGACGTAAAAGTGATGCCTAAGCCTCGTTTTACGTGGATTCTTTCCAAATAAATAATCTGACACATTTACCGATTACATCAAAGGGCGATGACGCCGTACTAGCTAATACATACCCATCACCCAACTACCCACTGGCGGATCTAGGGGCCTTTTTGGGGTATGTCCCCCCGCAGCGTCCAAGACCGCCTTTGTAGATCCGCCAGTGCACAATGCACATACCTACCTACCTACATATCGTTTTGCTTACCGAGGCTCACTGTAGCAATTTTGAACAAGACAAGGATACTCCGTTATGATTGCGAGTCTGAGTCCGAGCGCCGGCCGCCGGGCGGCGAAGATTCTATATACCTTGCGGCGAAGGCCAATATGGAAACATGATTCGTTTTTGTTTGCAGGTGCCAAGTCACATCCATGTGCTCATAGGTAACTCATGTACGATGATACATACATGGCATTGTACTCAGCCGTTACAGCATCTCAACTCTATGCCTACTCAGTAGTCAGTTACCACACATCAACATGTTGGAATGCTGAAGTACGGCACTAAGTTCATGCCATGCAATCCGGTAATGTGATGCCTAGTACTGTTGTAAAGCTTTTGGCGCCACTTGCCAGTGGAATAATTCATTCCGGGAATGTGCTACACCACCGCTCGGTGTAATAACTAAATTAAGACTCGTTATTAAGTGCGTTGGAAATACTAGTTCTGCGTAGCTCCCGACTGATCCAAGTTAAAGCCGTCGACGGTCTAGATAATTACAAGACTCGTTGATGGGGCTGAATATTTCACGACGCTGCTCCGTTAATTCACTTCAATCAAGCCGCAGACGACATTTCACACATTCATATAATGACTGCTGGATCAATATCCATGACGTGTCGGACTCGTGCAATAAGGATGATCTTGAAGAAGTGTCTGATGACCTGCCGTAACCGTTCTCTCCTCTCCTGTGCCCCCCCCCCCTCCCTGCTTCTCCGCAGGCCTTTGCATAGGTGTGTCTGATCTCGACCTTCCCTATCCACCCTCTCCACAGGTCTCAGTCCCCACTCCCAGTCCTCGTCCCTCAGTTGTACACATTGCACATGTGTCAGCCTATGAATCCCCTTCCCTCCAGTCCCCACACGTTTGTCTGTGTCGGTCCCACCGCCTTCAGAATGACAAGCACTTTCCTCCACCCTCCTAACAGACTGGACATGACTGCAGCTGACTTTTCTACACACAGATTTCAGTCCGCCAGTTTCTATCCCATCTGTTTTATCACGGCCTCTTTCAACCCTCCCCTCTCCCCGCAAACTTTGGACTCCACCACAGCCTCTAACACCCCCTCCCCCATCTCCGCAGACACCTGAGCCGGCACCATGAGCAGCCTGGTCGAGAAGGTTCGCGAGGACTGGCAGGAGTTCAAACGCGAGGAGCCCGTGGCCATTTGGACCACCTACGTGACAGTGGTGGTGCTGGTTTGGCTGCTGGCTCCCACTGCTCTCTACCTGGCACTGACCGGCGTGCTCTACCTCGCCTGGCGAAGGTGGATGATAGGAGCACGCTGCCGCAGTGTCGCATCGCTCGAGGGAAAGACGGCCGTGGTGACGGGCGCTAACGCTGGAATCGGTCGAGAGGTGGCGCTGGAACTGAGCCGGCGCGGCGCGCGTGTGATCATCGCTTCCCGGGATGTCAGCAAGAGTCGACTGGCGGCGGCTGGTATTCGTTCGGAAACTGGTGGTGAAGTTATCGTTAAGCAGCTCGATCTAGCTTCGCTAGCGTCCGTGCGCCAGTTTGCAGCCGATATTGAGCGTACGGAGCCGAAGGTGCATATTCTGGTCAATAACGCGGGCATGCTGATGACGGAGAGAAGGAAGACTGAGGACGGTCACGAGATGATGTTCCAGGTGAACTTCCTGGGTCCGCTGCTGCTCACCCACCTGCTGACTAAGAGGTTGGAGGAGAGTGCGCCGTCCCGGATCGTGAACGTGTCGTCAATGGGTCACTGGTTCACCGATTTTGATCTCAGTGATCTGGACGGCGAGCGGCGTTCGTTTGAGGTGTGGCGTCGCTACGGCACCTCCAAACTCTGCCAGATCCTGTGGACGCGCGAGCTGGCGCGGCGGCTCCGTCAGCGCAGCGTCAGCGTGTTCTCTCTGCACCCGGGCGTGGTGAACACGGAGATCAGCCGCGAGCAGCGCGACCGCTGGTGGTATTCGGCCACCCTGCACGGCATCCTCTTCAGCTATGTGTTCCGCAGCGCCAAGATGGGCGCCCAGACGGCCGTCTACTGCGCCGTGGAGCCCGGCCTGGAGCACGAGTCGGGCGGCTACTTTGCCGACTGTGCCCCGGGCTGGAGCAGCGCTCAGGCCAAGGATGACAAGCTGGCTGCACGGCTGTGTGAGGAGGCCGAGCGGATGCTCGACATCAAGCTGGTCTCGGCGTGAGGTGGCGCCACCGTCGGTGCTGGTCTATCTAGATGGCAGCACCTGTACCTGCTCACGACGGCAGCTCTGTTCACAGTTGGGGAGTGAGACGGACATTGGACATTGGACAATTGCGTTATTTCTCGCAGATCAGCGGCTCAGAACAACGTGACTCACAAGTTACTGAGATTGTTAAGGTGATCACACATGCAAGGATCAAATGCATGTTATTGATTCTGAAAATCGTAGATCACCCTCAAGATGTCAATTATCCATGTGTTCGTACCTATGTGATTGTGCCTTTCCATGCTCTGGATGAGACATGAAGCGATTGAACAAACAATGTTTATCAAATGGACCTACCAAGCAGGTATTTGTATAACACAATGTAATCTTCCAATCGCTTTCCATAGTGGGGATTAAACATGGGTAATGACCCAATGTTGATACTTCACCAGTCACCACTGGTGAACTCCATTTAGCGTTACCTTGCTCTAGAAGCATATCAGTATATTTAGAGGAAACTTGCTCACTGCTCACTTATGCTGGTAATGCGTCATTTTCTCTCGCGGTGCATCAATCGATTGGTGTGCCATCAGAGGCCGGAACTGGCCTGACGACCCATGTGCCTAATTCTCCTCGAGACGGTGAGGATTGATAATTGCTAAGCATTAAATGTTACAGCTTACGCTATGTGATCACTTGTAGTCAAATGAACCCCGCGGTTTCACAAATAAACGATTATATAATACGCCAAACGTTTCCCACGTGACAACGAAAACATGATTGACGAACCTGCCTCGATGAACGTATTTCACCAAAGCTATTTCCAGTTAAGACCAGCCACTGCGTCAGTTATCTGCATATACACCTCACAGCCTCTCATGTGTGTAGGCACTGTTGTATAATCAGTAAACCTCGGCGGTCCTGAGGGCATCCACCAAGACCCTCCGGTTCTATTCCTGCTGTGCGGAGGAACTCGCCCCGTCAGTGGATTTCTGACAGGAAGAGACGCCGAGCGTCATCGGAGGCGACTGCGACCCGCCGACTGACGCGCTAAGGGAGGGGGGGGGGCTGCGACCCGCGGACTGACGCGCTAGGGGGGTCTCTGGCGACCCGCCGCGCCGGTGGGTGGGTGGGGGTCGATTCAGAAGGAGGTCAGAATGGGGGGGGGGTGATGCATAGCAAAATGGTAGAGCGGATGATAGGATGAGGAGATGTCTGCACACTAGACATCATTGGAGAAGAGATGAGAGTCAGTGCACCGAACGCATGTTGGACGGGATGAGAGGGAGAGAAGGATAAGGTGCAGGGCGGACAGGGACGGTCAGTTCGGGAGGTAGAACTGTGGTCAGGACGAGGAGACGGCGAATTGAACCGATATGCAAAAGCGTGTCCGAAACAGGCAGCGCACGTTTTGCTTTGCTCCTCAAGAAGCTAAAATTGCGGCTTTACATATACCGGTGCCATATTTCTGGACTGGTCGAGATCGAGCTTTGCGTTCAAAACGAGCGTGCTGCCCGTGACGAGAGAAAGGTTGCGGCTTGTAAAAAGTTCGCATAGCGATTTTCTAAGCGTTTAACTAGGAGTAGCTAGATTTTTAGCTACCTCTAGTCCGTTCACGAATTTTGGAAATAAAATAGAAATATGCATACGACAGGGCTGACGAGGCGTCGCACGTCTTCCCGCGCTCGGACCAGGGCGGGGCTGTCAGACCCCAGAGGCGAGGGGAGCGCAGATCAGGGCGGGGGCTTCGGTCGCAGCCGAGACGGTCCACTAATGTCAGCAGATTTCCCGAATAATTGGCGATGACTCAGGTCCTGAGGATGGCGGCTCGCGATGGCCAGCGAAATAACGAGGTCGGTTATCGCCCACTCGGAATGTGGAGTGGCGCTGAAAGTGACAGGGATATAATAGAAATTAAATAACAGAAAAAGTTTAAATCGTCAAGACTTCACTTTTTGCATAAAGAACGACTAAAATATATGTAAAAGCTTATAACTGAATTCTGAAAGGATTTTCAGCCAAATCATATAGGGGAGCACGGGCAAGACGCATCCCTTGAGTGAGAAATAATATGGCGCAAAAAAAAACTATGGAATGAGCCGAGCAAGCTTTTAACCCTCTCTCGCATTGTTTTTTTTTTTTACAGCGTCTAACATATAGGGGGGAGGAGGGGGATCCGTAGGACCCACCTCTATCCGTTTCGCCCCTGATCGAGCTAGAGCTTTGCGGTAAAAGCGAATGTATTGCCCGTGACAATAGTAAGCAGATGATAACAAATTTTAAGGTCTAGGTCTTTGGTTGCCCTTCCACGTCAGGTCAATCAATCGGACCAAAAAGTCATGAAAATCGGGACCTGCTAACACTTTGTAAAGTAAGACTAATACCTATTTTCTTTTCTCTTCTTGGTCCTAATTACGAATTTTATGTTAGTTTTGATCCATTATGATGTGTTCATGCATTTGGTATTGCTCGGGTCAGGTCAGGTCAGGTCATCCAGTACGGGTAGTAGGTGTCAACCTCTACTACAGACAGCTTCGTAGCATGTTACATTGGCTCCAAAACTACTTTTCACTTGTCCAAAAGGGTGCTAAATTCGATATTAGCTCTAAAAACTTCTATCAAAGCATGCAAAACTCGAAAAAAACAAGGTTATGTACGGTTAATGACATTAAATTGATCTTCACGTGACCCTGAAGCCTACATATTATACATGGCACAAACATCATTTCTTATGCTGGAACCTTCACAACCACACAAGGACTGGAAACGCGCGGATATTGTGCGCCAACATGCGGTGAATCGCACTTCTGGCCTGGCCGAACATAGTCTCGAGAAACAGGTCAGAGGTCAAAGGCCATTTGGGTCAGGGTCATGAAACTCTAGAGTCTAAAGTGTAAGATTGATAAACCCGAGGGCAATAAGGGTCTCGTTGCGATCGGCAGCTGTTTTGATCGAGTTATTTGCGAAAAATCAAGGGTGGTCCGTTCCACATTCGCCCCCTCCCCCCTTTCGCCCCTTTAAGTGCGAGGGTTAGAGAATCGTGTGTCGGGGAAAGGAAGTATACAAGAAGTAAGCTTACAAGGTCTCACAATTTGTATCCCATAGACTCTTGTTTTTTACCTAAAGGTCGTCTGAAGTCAGATCAATAACGAGACCTCACCATTTGGGCAAAGGAAACCATTTACATCCCCAAGCGCTTGGGGTTAGAATTTGAATCTTTGAAGGAACCGTGATCTTCATATTGCGCTTTTATGTTAACCCTCGCCCCGTTGGGGGGGGGGCATTTTGGCCCCCCCTGTGGTTTCTCCTGCATAGCAAGAAAACGGCGGCGCGCAGCGCCGCCAAATTTTGGGTATGTACCTTACCGGGCATCAATTTGACACCTTCACACAAAATTTCAAGTCTTAGGTCACCTTAGGTCAGGAGTTATTGAGGTCAAACTGAGGTCATGTTCGAGCAAAAATGAGCAAAAAACATGCAATCTTGAAACGCTCACCAAATCTACAGTTATTAAGCAATTTCAAAGTTCTTTATATGGTCTTGTAGACAAAAAGCGGCGCTACAAAACTGCTATCTCGGATTTTCAAAATTTTGGGTTTTTGTCCCTCAAAAATTAAAAAAATTGTTTTTTTTAGAAAAACTAAAAAAAATCTAAAAAATTTCCTAATTTCGAAAAAACCGGAATATATGTGATAGTCCCTGCGCTCTTCTATATACATACCAAATTTCAGATCGATATCTCGTTTTTTGGCCAAGTTATAGCGAAAAAAACTGTTCAAAAATGATGACGCCAAATTTTTGAACTCAATTTTTAGCGATTCTAGACCACGTACGGCAAAACAAAGACCACCATTGAACTCCCCGTGACGAGCTGCATCGATTCGATACCCATTTTATGCAAAAATATCAACTTTGAAATTTGACCTAATTTGACCTGACCTTGACCTGACCTTGACCAAAACGTAACCTAAGCTGGCCCCAAAGGCTGCCTGACCCACATAATCGCATTTGTCATGTAAAATGGACCATGAAACACGTATCACACGACACTTTCATATTGTGACCCCCCAGTGACCTGACCTCTGTGACCTGACCTGGTATCAGTGACCTCAAATAGCAAAATATGTGTTTGAAGAACATTTCCCCATCGGTGATTTTCAATGAAATGCATTTTACTCGATTTTACAGCGCATTTCTTGAAATGCCTGTAAACGGTGAAAATTGGACCTTTGACCTGACCTGTGACGTCATCGGTTTGACCTAGGTCAATGAAATTGGGTCACAAGGTAGTTCCCTGATAGGGCTATCCAACACCGTTTGCCGCTTGTCGCTAGGTTGCGTGGTTCTCGAGATCTTAGGGGGGGGGGCCAAAATGCCCCCCCCCCCAACGGGGCGCGTTGCTCGGCAGAGCCCAACGGGGCGCGGGTTAACCCTCGCCGTGCTGGTGGTCTGAGTTTTCCGCGTCTCGTGCTAAAAGGGGGGAGGGTTCACGCCCCTCGTCTAACTCGGCTCCTGGGCCACATAGCGACACGCAGTAAGCGGCATTCGAAATAGTGTCAACAATAATTGAGAAAATACTTCGGTCATGTTTTAGGTCAGGTCAAAGGTCAGGTGACCAGAGGTCATCAAAGGTCAAATTTTGCCTATTTCAACAATTTTCGCAAAACCGGCGCGAACCGATAGAGCTACAGCGCCGCGGAAAAGCGCATTCGATAGCTCCTTCAGCACTCTTTCTGTGTGTGCACAGGTTAGACCTCAGGTCAACGGTAAAGCCTTCAGAGGGCAAAAACTCTAAAAAAAAAGCCGTTGGTAAGAAAATCGATTTTTTCTGCATTAGGTAATTTTCGATTCGAGAGAGTCACGACAATAGGTATAGTTATCAGCATCGTGTTCACTGTTCCCCTCGTCAAGACGCGTCGAATGAACTATAATTTGTCATTAGAAGGTCGTTATGAAAGTTTGACCTCAGGTCAAGGTCATGAGCTGACAGGAAAAGATCATGTTGCATATCAGTCGATCTGTATCGTCGAGCTGAGCACGCATATCTCCACTCCAGCATATCTCCATCAGAAGTTATGGTAAAAAACTGCTGGGGACCTTTAACCCTCGCCCGCACATGGGGGGGGGGGGTTGCCACCCCCCAGGTAGTCTTTCTGCTTTGCACTCAACATTTTTAGAGCTAGAAGGCTGATTTTTTTGTATATCTGCTCCTCTATCCTTTCTTGATGTCCACTGAAAATTTCAAGTTTCTGTGGTTTTTGGTTCCGGAGATATGACCTTGTTTTTCAGGTCATGTCATGGCCCAAATGGCCAATTCTCAACATCTTGCGTTGGCTATGGGCCTTGTGAGCTTTTGACACCTTCATTTCGGCCTTTTTTGCCAGTCTTACCTCCCACCTATCATGGAAGATGTTGTTCGACGATGTACAGATGTCAAGGTCAAGGTCAAGGTCAACCTAGGTCATCGAAGATAATCGCGTTTTAGGCTAGCGGAATTTACTGCTTGTGAAGTTTTTGGACTGCATTTTTGGTAAAAGCTTCTCAGATCATGATTTCATGTAATATGGACACATAAACAATCGGTGCACACATCAGTATACACACAGACACACACAGACATACAAACACATATAATTGACCTTGACCTAACTTGACCTGAAATGACCTCAGCAGCAAAAACCTGGTCGGGTAGTGTGATAAAGAGGTTCTAGCTGGCTTGGCACCAGAAAACGGCATCGTCATCGG